CGAGCGGCCGCCGGTGGGGCCGAGCAGCGCGGCTGGGGCGGGCCGGGAGGCGGCTGCGGGGCTCACACCTGCGGCGAGTGATGCGCGTCGCCGTGAGGGCACCGCGCCTCGCTGGGGCCGTGCCTTGCCTTGTCTTCTGCTCCCTACAGTGGAACGGCTTTTGTCAGTAACTGTGTGTCTTCTGCTCCTTCGTGTTTTCCCCTACCCTACAGGTACTAAAGATGGGCCGTCGAGCCCGCCAAGACATCTTTGCTGATGAAAATCTCAGCAAGAAGAATTCCCCATCTGCTTCTCTTGGAGAGGTGGGTGTCCTGTCAGGAGGACTTGTCTGTTATCCTGCTGTTGTCTCCAGTGGATAATTATTAATTTCTTCTGAGATTCCTTCCTGCATGGTGTGCTTTGCCCTTTGAATTTTATCCTTAGATTTGGGACTTGTGACTGCCCTGTCCCTTTCTGAGTATTGCCCTTTGTATAATAGTTTCCACACAGGGTCCTATCTAGGGCTATGGTTTCTCACGTGTCAGGTATGGAGAGTAGTATCATACAGGACTCCAGGCCTCTCCCTCTTGTGCATGCATATCTTCCTGATATTTGAATTTCTAGAATTAAAATATGAGCAGGCACATCATTTTGTGACCAGTTTTGCCACCATCTGTGGTAGTAAGGCAGATAAACAGATGCCTGCCTTTTGTGCTTTGCTTATTTTCTCTGTGCACAGCTACAAAGGTCATGCTAGAAGCCAGCTTTGTAGCATCTGAGACTTTTCCTTGTGGCTAATAATGTGCAAACTCAGCTCCCACTTGTCTTTGGAGGAAAACTTTGGTTCAGAGGCTGTTCTATCAGTACATCTTCAAATGGTAGAAGGGGTCAGGAGCCCCTCTTTCTCAGGAGAGTGAAGCAACATCCTCAAGTATCCAGAAATAGATCTGAATTGTTTCAATTAATTTTTTTGCTTAGTGTTGCAGAATGCTTAAATTTTTCCTGGAAGCTTGCAGTTGGATGTTAGCATGGCTTTTCCACAGGCATCTCTGGCTAGAAGGAACAGCTCTCAAGAAATGACATACTAGTTTTGCTCCCTGACACATACCAGATGGACAAAAGTGTCATCCGACTTCCACTTCGATGGCAATGATATTTGTTTAAATGAGGTGATGCTTACCTTTTTGCAGTGCCAGTCAATGGCCTCCAGCATACCATATTCTTGGCTTCTTTAAACTGGAAGCCCATTCTGCCCTGCTGGCCACCCTGGCACCAATTCTGCTTCAAGCTACTCTGCTCAGAGTTCTGGGACCTTTTGTCTGTCCCTGATTCCCTGTGCAGTGACAAAGCTTTCCTATTACACTGAGTAGTTGTGTCCCAGACATCTGTGCCAAAATGGTTGTGGGGGGATTTTTCCTTTGAGACTCTGTGATGCTGTTGAAAATAGCACTGTTACAGCTCAGCTTACAATAACACCTCATAAAGCAGGCTTTTTTTTCTGGAGAAAGTATGCTCTTTTCTTTTGGTAGGCATAATGGAGAATCATCTTCCACCTAGGGATTCTCCCCTTGGATATGCTGTAGGCATTCAGGATGGATTCTGTGAGGGAATGTACAGAAGATGCAATTTAAGAAATAGAAGTAATCACCAACCTCATAGGTAAAGAAAGTCATAAAGAAACCAGCTGGTGGTTAAAGGGGTTGTAATCATTAGCTGGCCTCCCCATTAGGGTAACTCACTGTCAAATTTTTCTCTTGCTGGAACTGGCCATCCTAGTTCATAGGCTGATTCCTGGGTTTTAAAGAGACCAAGGCATTATGCTTGTGCTTACTGCTCACATCATGACCATTTCAATAGCTGGGAAGAGATCATAGGGGCTCCAGGCCTTGGGCAACCCTGAAGAAGACTAAAAAATATTTACTGTGTTCCATTTGAAATCAGTGAGCTTTCCATCAGCAGAAGGGTGAGGACTTCCATGCTTTAAAACATTCAAATATATTAGTACCGGATCTTAACCACCAGGAAGAATTGTTTCTGTCAATAGTCTCCCTTCAGACAAGTCTTTGTTTCAAAATGTTTGTGTAAATAATCTCCAGCCTTTTCCTTTGCTCCAAAATTGAAGGCTTTTTATACATGGCCATATTTGTTATCAAAGTGAGTATTTAACAGAACTAATATTGTTTTTTCTTTCACCTTAGACTGGCAATCAACTTTTACTTTTATGGAAGCTTGGCCTTAGCTTCCTATTAATTGTTGGGGTCAGTGTTAAAATGGATGTCTCATTCAGCCATCTAGTCATCTTGAAACCTTCATAAGAAATCTTCCCAAAAGAAATGCAAGATGAAAAAAACAGTCCTTTTTTTCCCTGGAACTGGCAGTAGTGGAGTAGGCCCCATGTAATTAATTTCAACATAGAAAGTTTTATTCATATTGTTGATTTTGAAGACAAAGGGGTTTGTGTTAAACCTTTGCCATATTCACACCCTCATATGCAGTTTCACATTCAGGTTAGTGATTTTGCCTTCAGAGGTTCCTCCGAGTTTTAAAACTGTTTAACGTTGGCTGTTTTTTTATTTTATTTTATTTTTTAATTCTATGCCAATCCACCCAGTTATCACCCATCTCAAATTTCTGGTATGAACGTACCATTTATGCTATTGTTTGTGTCTTTTCATGACACTGAGAAGCATCCAAGAAGTGTTTTCCAGTCAGAGCAGCTTGCTTGAAGAAAGCAAAAAGTACCTGTCTATCCATGTTTCAACATCTGGGCTTATTACAAGGAAATTCACTTGGGGGATGAACAATTATTGTAATTAAAAAGATCTTTGTTTTGAAGTCAATAGGCAAATCATCTGACTTGGAGCATAGATCTTATCAGTCTACTGCTGATCTCTGCTTGGCCTGGGCTCTCTTTTCCAAGAGACTCCAAGCTGTGTGCTGCTCTGTACAACAAATGTGTTGTTAAAACCCCCTTCCCCAGGGCATAGTTGCAATGTCTTGTGCCTTGCAGCCTAATATACTTCCCCCAAGCTCTTTGAAAACGCGATGATATCTTAGTATTTTTTCAGTACCTGTTGTGTGTATCTCCCACAAGAATATTCTTAACTTCAGCAGCAAATCTGTAATTCCTTTCTACTTCAGAATTCTCATTCTGTGTGGAAGGACCTGCATTATCTTCAAATGTAGACCTCCTCAAGGGGCTCATGAAAGGTCACAAAGCTCCCACTCTGCCCATGTGACATGCAGAGCATTCCTGCCTTTTTAAAAGTACAAGTACTAACAAACAACACTGCAGCTATGTGTTATTTCACCAGGCAAGATGGAACATGATTATTTGCTGTCATTGCTGCAGTTGGCACTCTCCTGCAGCAAAGGCTGTTCATGTTCCTGGCCTTCAAAACTCCTTGGCAATTCAGCAGGCACTTCTTGGGCACCCAGGGGAATATGCTGTAAGTGGGAATTCCTAGAGATAAATCTGCTTGCTGCATGCCAGGACTCCACATTTCAAACATTCATTTTCAGAGGGGTAATGTATCTCTTTTTCCACTGAGAGGCCTTTCCCATCCCCTGGCTTGATGTGGTACATTTACTCATCTTGATGCTATCAAGTTTCTGACAGAATGGGAGAAACTCAAGGTAGTTATGTTATTTATATAATGGGAGGGACAGATCATATAATGAGATCTGTTGAAGATCTTTGCTATCCCATCCTAACAGGATTTTGGGACACTTTTATAGAATAAAAGTCAAACCTTTTTCCTAGCTCTAGCATCACTGCACCCAACAGCCTGAATGCTGGCGTGGTGACGTCCATCAGAAGAAGCTGCTTGGCCAGGTTTGGAGCTCTTGATGAGATTGATTTGGAAAGCTGAGTGGAAAAGCTTTTTCAAAAAATGTATCAGCAGATTTTTCCTTTCCTGTTTTTTCTCTCAGCAAGAGTGAACTATGTGCTATTCTGTAAGAAATCTGTATGCAAAAATACTTTAATGTTATCCTAATTCCATGGTCTGTTTTCTCTTTATCCTATAGTAACACGATTCCCTTGGGACCTTATTCATGAGTTCCCTGATTTCTGCCTGTTACAGTCTCAGTCTGATTTTGCCAGCATGTCTCTGGCATCTTAGATCCTTTGAGTGGAGACTGCTTTACTAGGCAATGGTCAGCCTAAAGGTTTGATGAAGGTTTTCCCCATTTTAAGAATATTTCCACATAGGTAGGCCAAAATGACTTTATATCAGGGTTTGCCCAAAAATCAAGTTCCCTGTTGGTTCCCTCTGCCACATTTCACCACAGCCCGGGGAAAGGCTCTGTGCTTTCACTTCTGAAAGTGTGTTCTTCTCTTGTTGTCCTAGCTGGTATTTGTAAGCGTGCTTATGTAGCTGTGGTCCTTGGGTGGTAGTTAAAAAGCATTTATTGCTGTAAGAAACACCTTATTCAGCATAGATCCAGGTAGGCAGACAAAGACTTGGGCCACCTCTGCTGCATGTTGGAAGGATGTTCCCACAGGTGAATTTTGCAAAGCAGCTATCTGGACTTCCACCACCCAGTTTACAAGCACTAATGCTTTTTCAACTTGTGTTGCCCAGCTGGATTTTCTTCCATTCTAATGCAAGTCTTGTACCACTTGGGCTCTGTACATCCAGAGAAGCTTAGGTCAGGTTGGACCCCACAGAAGCCTTTCTGCTTTTGGCTGTGGGAACAAGCAGGCCCCTGACTGACAGATACCTGCTTCCAACAGATTTTTACCAGTTGGGAAAATCTGATTTAATTTGTGCTGCTCATTGGCAACGACATTTTTGTACCCCAGCTGCCCTATAAGACCAGATGACACTGAAGACACAAAATGAACTCAGATACCAAACTACTACCATCAGAGATATATGCAATTTATGAATCACATGGCTTCCATATTCCACAGGAGAGATGATTTAATCCAGAGGAAAAGTCAGGTGGGTTAGTGGAGTGTTTCCAGCCATCCTATGCATGCTTCTGGTGTAGGGTTTAAGTCAATCTAGGATACTCTAGATTCTCCTCCTGAGTGGTTCGGAACACTGATTGCATTTGGTATCTTAACAGCATTGATTGTTGCAATTGCTGGTGCTGACAGTTTACTCATCTAAAAGGTTCTCAACCAGTTTGCAACTTTCACAGAGAATAACAGGCTGATTTTGAGTTACTTACCTATCCCACAACCAAGCTTCTCCCTTACAGTTAATTGCTAAAGATCATCTGCTGAGGCTAACTCTGATGTCAGCTATGCCTATCTTACACTAACTGCTACAGCTTGTGCTCTCAGGGAGAATCTGAGGTTGCCTCAAGAAACAGTAGCTTCTCAAAAAAGGGCTGTAGCCTGCTACAATCTATAACCCCTACTATGACTGGTCCAGCATCAATTCTGGTCTCTGGCATGGCTGCAGTGACTCTCCATATGAGTCTTTCTAGGATCCCACATGCCTGAATAATTTGAGTTTTATTATGCTATGGGGAAAATGAACTAAGTCTGTTCTCTTCTTGCTAACATTTAGTTGATTTTCTTTGTTGTTTGTTTTTTTCTTTAAGTATCACAGTTGGCATCTGCATAAATGACTGGATATAAAATGTTACAATGGTGGGATCAGCTTTGTGCTTTGTTCAAGTGAATAAGGTTGCAAAGCATGTGCTGCAGGACAGCCGTAACTGTCAATCTTCAAGCTTGTGCAGGTTTCCATAGTGCCTCCTTTTAACTTCTTTCTCTCTTTTTCCCTTCTGACCCTTCTAGGATGAAGACTCTCAGGAAAAGGTTGACCATGTAAGACTAGCGGCTTTCTAGATAGACGCTGGCTCCTCTGAAGGGGACTAGTAGGATTAACCTATTATGTGTCTGGAGACTACCTTTAGAGGGTACTCTAGTACTGGAGAATAATAAAAAGTTTTCTTTGGATGCAGTGCCTTTCCTGCATCCTCTGTTTCTGTTGTTGACAGATTTTTAATTATCTTTGGAACAGCTGCTCTTATCAGCTGCTGCATCTTGTTTTGAGGTCACAGATGTATATGTGGCCACTGAAAAATGCTCTATGTTCATTTAAAAGTCAGGACAGCAATTAGCTAATAGAGTACAAAACCTGACTGAACCTAGATTGCTGTCTAGTATGGTTACTTTGCTCTTGTAACAGGAAAACTTGTCTTCAGGGATGATGAAGTCCTGCTGGTGCCCCAGAGGAGAAGGCCAGACAGTAGTAACAAGGACATGTGCCTTTGTATTTTCTATGAGTCTTTTCTTTTTATTGCACCAGCACTGAATGCTAGAATCTGTAGTTAATAATGTCATAGTGCTTCTTACCAGGCTCCTATGACACAGAGAAGGAATACACATATCCTTTCTTGTCCTGCACCATAGCTAAAATATGCCTGAGCATTAATTTAGCATTAGAAGCCAGGATGATGCCATTTAAAACAACCTCAGAAGTTCTGCCGTTTCTGTTGAAGTCATTGGACTAATTGCATTGCACTCTTCCTAACCATGGAATTGGTGTTGCCCAATTTTTTCTGCCTAGAATTGCTCTCTGTTAGATAATTAAAACACCCTCTCCTGTGCTCTTAATTCCTTCTGCTGAAGGACCACTCCAGTACTGGTAGCACAGTAGATTCATCTGTGAAATTTAAAGCCCAGAAAAGAAACTCGTATCACCCATCTCATTAATTCTGGCCTCAGAAGGATATGCTCATCAAAGGGAGTCAAGACTGCTCAGATTAGCTCAGTTTTCTCTTGGTAGTACAAAAGATGATATTGTAAAAAAGATCCACTGGGTTTATTTGGCAGTGATGGATGGTTCAGGACTATGCCCAGAGCACTTTTCCATTTATCAGGAAAAGAGACCTCCCACTGATGGGTATAGTTTTGGGGACTGGTTGCCTAATAGAAATTTTTACTGATAATTGATCTAATCTTCCCCACCCCCTGCCTCTCTGGAACCAGTCCTTACAGTCATTTCACTGGAACTAATTCCACCTTCATACAGTGCCCTAAATCATTGATTCCCAAGGTCTGCTGTTGAGTGCTGACTGGTCACATGCCATAGGCACCTTCTTGCTTCTGGCTGCTAAATTTCATTAAAATAACTTTACTGATGTGACTCTTCCACATGAGCAATTGTTGCTTCAGGGATGTTATGCAATGGTGCCTGGCAAGGAGATTTTATTTAGTATGAGGGGATCCCTGCTTTGAAAACCTTCTTGTTTGGGTAATTCCTGTTTTCTTTATTCAGGCTTATGCTCTTAAGCATGACAGTCACACTTTATAGTATTTTCCATTTGTAGAAGTCTGTAAATGGTTAACTGAGTGTTCAGAAATCTGACTGATCAGTAAGCTGCTTCTAACTTATAGTACTGTATGCTTACAAACTTCTGTTAACTGTATCATCAGTCTCTTCCAAATCAACTGTTAGTGGAACTTTATGTTATAAAGTGTGATTTGAGTCTTGTTGCAGTATATCCCTCCCTTAGTCATTGGCTGGCCAATCTGAAATACTTGGCTTCTTGAGTCATTTGTCCGAAGTTGGCCCCTTCATCCCCTGATGCCTCATATCACCCTTCTCTGAACTCCCTTTGGGCTTTGCTGAGTGTTACAGTCTGAACTCTTCCTGGATTTGGTCCCTTTCCTCTTGCTGTGTTGAAGATAACTTTGTAGCTGCTTGAATACTGAAACAGCCCCATGTTGGTTGTTGATGTGAACTTACCTGCTGAAGTCCTGCCCTGCAGCCATCTGCCTGCTCTGAAACTTGTTTTGCATCTTTTGGCAAACCACTCATCTTACATCTGAATTTTTGCCAGCTGAATAACTCATTTGGCTGTACCTTCCAAGACTGCCTGGGATATTTAGCCAGAGGCTGTAAGGCTAATCAATGGTATAATAAAGGGTGTATCCTAATATTTCAGTTAATTTGCAGAGGCAGAATAAGCAGTATGAATGTGGTTGTGAGCCAAGATTTTACTGGCTTCTTATCGTGGCTTTGCCGTAGATTTGCTCTGGGGCCCTGGAGAAGTCCCTCCACTAGTTTTCTTTAGTCCCTGTCTGAAAGGAAAGCTAGAGCTTTATGCAGAGGCACTGTGAGTATTCTCTAAATAGACCCACAGGGGGATTGAGATGCTGTATCCTCATAACAAAATCCATATCCTGCACTGGGTGCCTGCATAGTGGGTAGATAATCTCAGGATGGGCTGGTGGATCTGTTGGGATGGTAAAGAGTGGCTGGGAATGGCAGTGTGTCTGAAACCCTGTCCTGTGGAGTTGTGGCCCCATTCTGTGGGCCTTGGGGGTGCATGTCCTTGCACTACCAGTGAGAGACCCTGATCCCCATCCTGTGTTTTCTAGCCTTCAGAAGTAGAGTAGGGTTTTTCCTTGCCTTCAGGGACCTCCAGGTCCTGAATAAACAGATGTTCATTTTGGTGTTGGAACCTCATGCTTTAGATGTAGAGATTAAAGTGGCCATCTCCTTTCTAAGCTGAAAACACTGATTTTATGTCTTCTTCCTTCTCTGATAAAAATGTAGTAATGTTTGCCACCTCCATTGGCAAACCTCCATATGTCATTATATATACTATAATATTATATATAATGACAGGCCTATGAGCTGTTCTGAGTCTGAGAAGGCTCTCAGTCCTTTCTCCTGAAGCTGTTCTGCTTTGCAAATGGAACCAAAAGAATTTTGGTACCATAGGGAAAGACTTTCTAACTGAGGGCAGTAACATTTGAGTGGGAAGACATCAGTCCCAATGAGTCCAGCTGGGACCTCATCCTCTAGTTGTGCTTTGGTTGACATGCCATTGGTAGTTTTAAGGTCATTCAGGACTAAAAACAGGGACAGCATCTGATTCTGACCATTATACAGGTGGATGCTGGCCTCTGTGGCTCTATGTCACTCAGTGTTTGAGTGACAACATGCTTTAAGGCAACAACTGGAAAGAGGATTTTAAGATCTGACCTTTCCAGAGGGGGCATCAAAGACCTTTTGTAGTTCTACTTGCCAGTGTTTCTAAAACATTTGGGTGGAAAAATGAGCTGTTTCTTTTTAGGCTAAGTCAACATGTCAGGAACAATTGTTTTCATTGAGTGTTTGTTGGAAGAACAACTATAAAAAAATGGAAGTACCTGAAATATAAAGCTAGTTGTGTTTCTTACATTGCTAGGTCACCCAGTTGGGTGGGGTTGAGTGAGTGTATTTGCATTCTAAAATACAGTGCAGAATGATGTGGAGATCCCCGCGTGAGAAGCAACCTGCACTCTACCTGGGGAGGTACCAGCTTCGTTACCAGAAATACCTAAAACAAGCCAATTTCCAGACTTGAGCTGACTCACATGGATCCTGCTTGCAGGTGTGTCTGCACCTGTGGTGTAGACATGGCCTGGGGCTTGATATGATCAGGGCCTTTAATGAGAGCGGTATTTTCCTGACCCAGTTCTTACCCTTGCACAGTGGTTGGCACCCAGCTCCAAACTCCCATTCCAGTCTGGTCTGGTTGGGATCTGTGCAGCAGCCACCCCCCAAGTGCTCTCCCCTATATTCCCTGAAACTTAGAAACATGCAAGTGAGGAACCCACCACCAGCTGTATTCAGCTGAGTGTTGATCAGGGGACCTTATTTGCATAAAAATAATCACAATGTTTTTGGCACTGTCCTTCCGCTCTGGTTTAGAGAGTTCATGACCTAACAAGTCATAATTGTAATGCAGTCACAGTCATTCCTGTATCTAAATTTGCACTGCAATAAGATTCAGAGAGTGTTGGTGTATGGCTGGAACAAGCATTTCCCATTCCCAAAGACCTTGCAGTCTAAGTGCAATGTTTTTCTCTAGCATCCTCTTCTCCCCTGTGATCTTCAGCTTGTAGAGACTTCACCAGCGGTAGCTGCATTTTGTATATGGCATGTTGCCAGGGTTTTGCCTTCTTAGGCATGCAATTGGGAGTAGGGTGGACTGGCAGTAGATAGCTCTTGAAGCAATTGGCATTTCTGAGAACCTGGGAGGGTTCTCTGAGGCAGAATTTCCCGTAGCTATTGCACATTGTGAATGCCCTCCCCTTTATGTGGTCATCCTGAGCTGCATTTGTCCCTCCATGTCCCAGAGTTTCTGTCATCTGTTTTGATTCTTGCGTTATTCTAGTAAATACCCTCCACTGAAAGGATCCAGCATCCAAGGAAGCACTGGGTTTTTCACCTGCTTCCATTTTACAGGGTTTGCATCGTTTTTTTTTCCAGAGGTCTTCTGGTTGCTTGTAGAAATGCTGGACTCCCAGCCTGTTCCTGGGGACCTCTCATCTGGAAGTTGGCCAGATTCTCCAGGAGGAATCTCAAAAATGCAGCTGAACTTTTGTTCCCTAATTAGGCCAACTTCCCCAGTGTGAGCCCCAGCACTGCACAGCCTGGAGCTCCCCAAGGCCTTGTGCGGCCTCTCTCCCGTGCACCCCGACTGGCTGACCAGCAGGGCAGTTATTTTCAGCTTTCTGAGCTTATCTCCTTGCCTTTTGATGACATCTTCTGAAATAGCTTTTCTAGTCAGCCATGTTTCCCAGCCTTTCTAGTAGTATCCTGCCTGCTTATCTACTTTGATGTGGATTAGGGAAAATCTCATTGAAAATAATTTTAGTAAAAGCTTTTCCCTTTCCACACATTTATTTCATAATTTGACTGCTCCTGGACCCACCTCAAGGCAACAAAAGAACTGTAGGAGGTAGAAAGGTGAATGGGAAAGTGTCTGACCCTATGTAGCATAAAGTGGTAGCAAACTGAGAAATGTTCATGCCTAGGAGGGCTGGAGGGGCACTTCCGTATAACTGTTGATTGTGAGAGGATTCTACCTGGTGACCTCTTGTTCAGAGAATCAGATTGTTGTGTGCTGATTCACTGTTTTCCTGCAGGGGAGAGCAGGAACTCCTCAGACAGGTTAAGTGCCAGATGCTGCAAAGGTGACAGCTTTCCTCAAGGGTTCATGTCTCTGACAAACAGCTGGCCACTGTTTTAGGAGAGCAATTTTGATAGCTGGTTAACAGTATGAACTGCTCCTTTACCTGTGATAGATGGCAGAGAATATTTGAAGGCTCCCAAGAACTTCTGCCTCAGTAACACTTTCCCTAGTATAGGAAAGTCAGTGACTGTGAAAAGAAGGACAGTTTGTGGATGAAATGCAAATCCAGCCTTTTCTGCTTGGTATTTAAGACATGCAGAAATCCTTGGAGGGTACTCATTAAAATCAGATGCACTATTTGAACCGTCTATGGACATGATAAAGAGAGCCAGCAGAGATAGGCTGTTCTTTGCAAAAAGCCCAGGCTTGCATAGATCTTAGAATTTATGTGTTTTTGATATCATACATGCTCTAAGTACAGATTATTTTATGTGTCTGTTTAGAAGCAGTGGGGCTATTTGACTTGCGGCTCCTTAAATGGCAGCAATCAAAACTAATTCATCAGGCCTGGTTGTGGAGATTTGCTTTCCTTCAGTCAAGGGAGCCTCTGGCATCTTGCTGGAGAAGAGAATCCCTGAGACTGCCCATACTTCTTTCTTTCCACTTCATGGTCAATATTGGATAAAAACAAGACACCTACATACTGTGTAGAATCTCACAGTGTTTGTATATTGGAAAAACATAGATCCTACATATTTTAGGAGAATTATGACATGATAGAAGAATTGTGTGTCCTCTGTTGCACACTGTCAATGTCATTTGAGTCCCTGCATCCCTGCACAGAGTGCTCAGTGTTTCAAAGGAGTTGTCATATTGATGAAGGTAAATGAATCCATATTTCCAGACCCACCTGAGAATCTGAGGGACTTAACATGCCCATGATCTGTCTCTGTTGTGGTAGGTTCCTTAAAAGAAACTTTAGTGGACCTTCTGGATTCAGAGACACCCAGGGTAGTTGCTTCCATGAGGGAAGCAGCATCCAACTGGCACCTTCAGAACTGTAGACATGATCTGACAAGTAGCCTGGAAATTTCTGCTTTAATGGGAAAGCCAGATGAGAATTCTGCACCTGTCTGATAAAAAAGGACCTGAAAAACAATAAAGAAGAAGGTAGAGTTTCTAGTTTAATGCAGGAGTGATGTAATTCAGGGCAGTCATTTTTCTAAGGGAGAGACAAAATACTTGTTATGGATGTAGTATCAAAGTGTTGGTATGAAAGGTGGCCTGAGAAATACTGGAAAAATGCCATCACAAAAATGGTGCTGAATTTCTGAGAAAAAACACAAACCAAAACAAACCAAACAAAACAAAAACTTAGACCATAGTGATTTTCCTTGGAAAAGGGACAATCTGCAGAACTCAAGTAGAGGAGATCTTCTGGAGAGAAATAACGGACAAAACTAAAGTGGAAAGGCAAATCCCAGCAAGTAAGTGGTTAGTTGATGCTGTGAAAGAGACTGAGCAGCAAGGGCTGAGACACAACACTGTTGTCAGGAGCTGGTGGAATCTCAGTGTTTTGACACTAAACTGCTTGGATGTAAAGCTTTGCATTTGGGAACATACATACAAGTCTTGCCTAAGGTATAACAGTAGGTACCAACAAGTTCTGATCATTTAAATCCCCCAGTCTTTTTCACCAAAAAGGTATGTTTAGGAGCACATTTGCTGCATTACAGAAGAACAGTTTACCCTGTTTCTGCTCTGATCCCTCTGGGGTTGACTTTTGTCCCACTTTCTGCCTCGAGCTCTTGCTTGCTGCTGCAAAGTCCCTACCTGTCACTGTATTATGGCAAAGCACAACACTGCATTCTCAGTCGTAAATTATGCTGAGGTTTTGGAACTGTGAAAGTGTATGAAGGTAAGTTTATTTACTTGACAAAAGTATATGTGGCATGTGACCTTCTTGCACCACTTTCCAGGTAGCTAACAAAGAAAAACTATTTCTCCTCAGCTGACACTTAACATTGCCTTTCCTGTTGCTAGTGCTCCTGTAGGCAATTCAGAAAGAATTACCTGATTTATTGCAAGAGGAATAAAAGACCTGTAGGAGTATGTGAGGTGTTTTTCAGGATCTGACAGACACTCAGGGTTGCCTGGTGTGTATGATCAATGGGAACACGTTATAACATTGGCAAGACATTGGAATCAAACCCCTAGATGCCCTGGAGTCATGCCTTGTGCAAAGACTGGGCCAGATATTGTCATCACCCTCTGATCTGGTGTGCCCTACTTGAGTTATCTTTGATCTGAAGGCTAGTTTTGATGATCAGTAAATTACATTGCAGGTGCATTGAAATGCCTTGGAGATGATGCATTTTTCCTTATCCTTATGGCCCAGGCTCTTTGGTGTTATTTTTGTATCCTCACGCACCTTTGTGAGGAGTTGTGAGGCTGTGTGTTAGAAATACGGCTTGCTGGCTATCAAAGGGATGGTGTGAGGGGGAAGGGGGTTGTTTGCATGGGAAGCATCTGTGTGGGAAGGAGTGTGTTTTTGAGTTAGGGGTGTGTGTAACGGGAATAGGGATGTTTGTGTGGGCATGCACGCCCATATGTGGTGTGTGTTCCCACTTTTTCCTGGGCTCTGGGTGTGTCCAGATCAACTGAATTCAAAATGCTCCTTTTTTGGCACTGTAGCCTCTTCTCTGGTTTGGCATCTTAAGAATCTGGGGGAATCATTTAAAGATCAGAAAACTCCATTCACTTGGGCCCCTGAAGGCTTCACATTCTGTGACATGGTCATTCCAGTCGACTGAGCTCTGTCCCCTACGGATGAGCCCATATAAGGAGGCTGTTTCCTGCATTTCACGCTCCCTGCCTGTCCCTCTGCCCTCCTGTGCTCCCTTTGCTGAAGAAAGTTGGTATTTTGGGACTGCAGCTCCTGCCTCATTCCTGCTCCCTGTTTATTTTTGGAGGATGACTATTTTTGCTCCTATCAGGGAGCTATGCAGGGTCATACCCTCTCCCTGCAGCAGGCAGAGGCTGCCCCTGGCAGGGTCTCTTAATTTCCCACACTCACAAACAGTGCTTATACTTCAAGAAATAAACATGCAAGACCCCTACCATCAGGGGTTAGCTCGACCCTGTCCTCATCTGTGGCAAGAGGCGATTTGGCTTTGGCTCAGGGTTGACCCCAGCACACATGCAAGGTCCTCTCTGAAGTCAGAACTCCTCAGGAGTCATCCCACTCATTCACTTTCTTAATAAAAGCTGTGGAAGCCACCTGTGCCCCCACCACTACTTTGTGGTTAGCATTTTTTCTCTGTTTAGGGACATTGTTTACCCAGTCATTCTTCATCATGATGGTCCATTCACAGGTCCCTGTAATCGATCTTCCCTCATTGGGCACCATCAATTGGGAGCTAGGTAGGCTGGGTTCACCTTGCCTCTGCTTTCATCATTGCTTGCCATGCAGAACACTGAAGGCAGTGCTATACAAAGTGCCTCACGCTGGGGGAATCAAACCTAAAACGGTAAATGGCAATGGGCAGCTTCCAAATGGTGGGAATTCATGGCCCCATTTGAAAATTCCCATCATAAGCCCCAAGCTGAATTCCCATTTTCTCTTGCTTTGTGGCAGAGTGCCACACAAGACAATGCAAGAAAATAGCAGGGGATGTCTTTAAGCTCCAGATGATCTTCCCCTTTGGATTTCAGTGGAGGCAGTGCTGGTATTCATCCCAACTAACTTTGGAAGAGTTTGGGTATGGATCAGTGTGTCTGAACTTGGCATCTATCCTCCTATTCTAAGCAGTGGACAAAAGCAGACTTTTTAGGAACAATTCTTCATATAAAACAAGATGTCTAAATCATGCTGTCTTGTACCCTAGGAAAGGCATAATGTGATACCTCCCACTGATATGTGGGCAACAGTGATGAACACTGAACCAGTTCCCAGGGAACCCTGTTTTGCCAGGAGAGCACATCCTCTGTGGATCAGTCAGCTACTGTATTGTATGTCCTCAAAAAGTCAAAGGCACTCGGACTTGAAACTTGTCAAGATACTAATTAGGGTGATGCATCTTTTGTTTAGAGAAAGGCTTAAAAACCTGACCTGTAGTTTATGTCTCATTTTTATTTTATGATTAAAAAGTATTTTAAACACTATCTCTCCATTATTTGGTGAAGTCTTACATTATTGTGTGTGGACCTGGTGTCTCAATTGGCTTGACTTTGCCATGACCAGAGCTGTAAGTAACATGTCTCTTCTCTTTATTAAAGGTTCCACCACCTAAACCCCCACGCCGGCAAGGAGGCTGGGCAGATGATCCTGTACTGGCACCTACCAAGTGAGTCCTCACCTCTTTCCTTATTAAGAGGGACTTAGGTGTTGAATAAAGGAACATCTCTAGTTGGACCTTGCTGTCACAGACATTGGAACAGTTTTCCTGTGTCTTTTAGATGGCCTCTCCTTCCAATATCAATGTAACTTGTTCAAGCCATTTGAAGTATTGCTCTTGCATGGTTCCATTGGCTAATTGACTTAGCGAGGCTTAGAACTGTGTACATGTCCCTGTTTACCAGAGGCAGTGTATTCCTTACCTGGTACAGTGCCTGGAAGGTGTCAAGAGCATAAATAAGCATATTAAATGCAGGAGCTGGGATGGTGGGATTTGACTGGTTCCATCCTTTCCAGGAAAGTGGCCCAACACTGACAAGAGTGCAATGAACACATCAGGATTTAGTGATCAGCCTTGACAGTAAAGGTGAAATTTGTCAATGTTTATGTGTGTATAGGGTTATGGTACAATGGAGATGGATGGAGATGGTCAGCAAGAAGAGATAGGAGGAAAAAGTGTACAAATTGTAGAATGTATATTGAGAAGTGTGATGCTCACATGAAGGACACATAAGACAAAGTGTAAATACCTGGACATGGTAATAGGATAGGAATGAAAACTAAAGGACAGTTCAGACTGGGAGGAGATTACTTGATTTCAAATAGTTGTGGTTTACCAACCTGAGAAGTTAGGCTGATGTTGTATTTCATATTCACAGAGCTGAAGGGCTCAGCTGTGGAGTGGTGTGAGATTGCTTGTGTAGTTAAAGGCCTATTGTCTTTATATATACTTTGGAGGCACTCTGATTTATGAAAAGTTATGTGTTTTCTTTTCTGAAACTGAGAATCAACCAGAAACCTGTTATACAGTCAGTATTTCTTGGGAGGGGAGACAGGTGGTCTGTATTCTGGTGTAGCCTTTCCAAAAAACAGTATTTTTTGAGAAAATTATCAGTCTATTTGTCTCTGAAAAAGCAATAGTCGAAATCTGGAGACTAGAATAAAGCAAGGGAATACAGCTCTCAGCCTGAACTCCTGTTGCTCTCCAGTTTGACCCTGATAATGGTTATATTTCATTGGCTGGCTGCAGCTGGAAGTTGCCATTGCAAAGATGCATTCACCTCAGCATATTAGAAAAGTGCCACCAGTGATCCCGGATCTTTGCAGAACCAGACATAAGCTTTATGGAAATGTGACAGCAGACAAGAAGGTTCAATTTCATTGCTTAGGAAAAATAAGTTATGTAATTGTTGGTCAGGTGAAGGACTGGATTGGAGGTAATAGATATGCAGGACTGTGCCTAATGTGCCCTGAAGGACAGTGAACAGGTTCCTAATGTAACAGCACTGTGCCACGTGCTATTTTACCATGTTTTCCATTGTTTGACATTAGCTTTATCCTACAGATTTGCAGCAGTAGTTGTGGGTGGTGCTTCCCCAGCATCTCAACTGCATGGTTTACAAGACATTTTAAGCGTCTGGAGTAAGGGCTTCTGTGACATTGGATGTAGTTCAGCTGGAGAAGCAGAACAGAACACAGGGTTGCAGATCTTTCTGCCTCTGAGAATCTGCACACTGAGACATGAGACCAGGATGTGTCCCTTGCTCAATCATGCATGTGATATGTCATACCTGACAGTGCTCATTTGTAATAAGGGATTTTATTGAATAAATTTTATGAAGAAGTTTGTTCTTTCTCCAGTCATATGAGGTGCAAGGGTTTTGCACAACTAATTCTCCTGGCTTTGCCTTCCTGTGTATTCTCCCCAAGCTAATCTCTCTTCCCTCCCTTAAAAAAGTCTGAGATGCTGGCCTGTAGGGCTTGCTTTGTGACATATCCCAGGGTAAAGCCTTCATGTGAAAAGTCTGAGTCATTGGCTGATGTCATACCAATGTTGCTGTAGCTTTGTTGTTTCTGTTTTCTCAGGCTCTATCTCCCCACAGCTTTTCAACCAATTGGACTCAGTTTGGAAGCCCATCAAGTTAACTTGCTCCAAGTTCACTAGTGTAGATGTAGTTAGAATAACATGCTTCTGTTGATATATCTGATTTAGGCTTAAGCCCTTTTTTTTGCCAGTGTAACCGAACCTACACTTGGGAATTATTCTGTTAGAAGTAATTTGATTTTCAGAACTGACAATGTTAAAATCTGGTTGGTTTTTTTTTGTGGGGTTTGTTTTTTTTTTTTTTTTCTTTCACTTAGAAAGGAAGGATGAGCAGAGTGGCTCCAGTTAGATTTTCTGTGTTGTGTAAATATATTTTGGGTCAGATGGGATACTGCAGCCACTTGTGCAATGATCTTGTAGCTATTTATGTTATTCTTTCTCCATTTGAAGTCTTAACTTTTAGTTCTGTTTCTGACAGATTCAGTCAGTTACAACTGCATATGTGTTGCTTTTCCTGCAGGGATTCTTTTCTGCTATATTTCTAGTTCAGAGTCTTATCAGTACAAAATGATCACTTGAAATTGTTCTTTTTATTTCCATTTGGCACATGTTAGAGTAGACTTTAGTTTGTAACCTGTTTTTCTACCTTTGTGTTCTCTTTTAGTCCCTTACCTGCCCAGCTCATGTCATGTTTATGAAAACTTGTAAATATTGTCACCATCTTGCTGATTATTTCCATCAGACTGCTGCTCTCCCAGACTGTTGCAAGATAGGAAGAAGAGGACTCTTAAAGTTTTCCAACCTAAATTATTTTAAAAATTAATTAGCACAAATGGTGTGTGAGATACAATACAGGGCTTTATCATGAGTTCCCATAGCATTTGCAAGTGTCAGATATTTAAATTGCTGAGAACTATCAAAATCATCTATTTTACTCAAGTTTTCAAAAGCCAAATGTGGGAAGATTGCTTTGGACTCCCAGTACTCTTATAGAACAGTTGTCATTGCTAGGAGTCCAATTTTGTAAATCTGGGTAATGATGAGGACTGCTGGTGTCTGAGCAACCCTCCTTCGCAAACAGCAACTAAATGGTTCAAAGTAGTGACAGAAATTTCACTTTTCTGTACTACCAGGGCCATGTGTACCTGAATCTGTGTATCCAGTTAAACCTGTACTCAGAAGAATGATTCTCAGTAAGAAGAGGTGGTCTCATTGCTGTCCTAGCAACATTCTAGCCCCAGTACTAGCAGAAAGGGGACCAGCCAAGAACCTGGGCAGCCACCTGGGGCCTAGTAGCTTGCTGAGATAAAGAACAGTAATTACAGTCGGGTTTTCCTACAGAAGCAGCTCTCTAACCACTGGATGGAGCCCAAGTGCCATTCTGAAAGCTCTGCTGATGTCCCTAATGACATCAGTGCTGACACGTGACAAGCAAAGCAGAGCTTTACTGTCAGGTTATCTCACACATCAAAAGCAAGAAACACAAAGTGTCTGCCAGTGGGGGAAGGAAAAGGGAACTCAGTTTTGCATACTGGTGAGGATTTGATAAAGGAGGGGTGCTTCCATGATTCATTTAATTCCAGCTTCTTCTGATCTCATCTCTCTGACTTTCCTCATAGAATTTTTTCCAGTTTCCTCTCTAGCAATATCTTAATTTCTTTGCTTCTTGGGTCTCTTTCAATTTACTTAGGTGCTTTATCCCTTTGGTCTTGCAGTGAGCCCCCTAAAATTCCTACAGCTCTGCGGGCAGCAGCTAGGGTTGTTGAGGAATAAACACAACTTGTTTCAGATAGCCCTGTAAGCAAACACAAGTGCTGCTTTCAATAGGAAGTCCCTTCCAGTGCCTGCATGTGTACCTTGTTTCTTCTAGATGGATCAAGGCAGCAAGAGGGGTTTCAGCTGCAACTGGAATTTCCCCTTTCTGACTGATAGGCCACATAGAGTTGGAATAATCAAGGCTTGTTTAGAAAAATGGCCATGCGGAAGTGGTAGAGTGTCTAGGAATGCATTTGTCAAGAAGGTGAATATTAAGTGCCTGTAGGAAGGAAGAGGATGCAGTTGGGGTGACCTTTAGAGCAGGGTAACCCAGCCCCTGTGTAGATATCATTTAAGGCTCTGAAGGCTGGGCAGTGGTGAGATTGCACCCTGGAGCTGGAGGAAAGTTATTTAAGAGATTAAGGGGTTTTATGATTCAAGGTCTCTAGAGATAAGTAAAGTTAAAAACCTCCTGTTTCAAAAATATGGGCTTAAACTATCCTGTATTCTTTCTATAAGAAATGACCCCTGAGAGTGCCTGGTTTTAGAACCTCTAGCAATCCCTGTTTTGCAGCAGGGAGTAGTAAAGTGCTCATGAGTTTCTCTGTCTGGGACAGTGGGGGAAAGCTTGTGTCATTGCTTCTGTTCTCTACTCCCAGTCCAGCAGTGTTGAGGTGAGTCTCAACACTTCCCCATGACACTGCCACACTAGGAGCACAGCCAGACTCCTGGCTGCATGGGAGATGTCAGTCTCACTCTGCAGCTTGCAGCTATCTGCGGATGGTGAAGTGAAGAGTATAGGCAGAGAGGATGAAGGCTGCCAAGTGAGGGGGCAAAACTCAGAAGGAGAAGAAAGAAAAGGAAGTCTGATTAAGTTTTGTCTTGAAGTGTCTGTTTTTGGGTTTGTCCCTGCATTGATCTGCAAGGGAATGAGGCAAGTAATGGCCCCTTGGGGACCTTCAGGACTTTCCTCTCAATGTCAGCCGTCATTTTCAATCACCCTCTCCCTCCCAGCCATTAATTTTGGCCCAGGATCATGGGGACTTGTCCATCTATCACTCCTAATTGACACTAAATGATCTGTCAGTTTATTGATGAACGGCAGGAGTGGAATTGTCACAATATATTTTACTTTCTAACAACTCCTCCTGACAATTTTACCTTGTCCATCTCACTCTCCTCACATAAATCTCCATTGGCCTTTCATTCCTTCTCTTGGGCTGATCTGGTGCCAGCCACCTCCATGCCATCGGCACGCATCAAGGACATCAAGATGGCGGTAAGCTGCAATGTGCAGGCCCAGGGTGGGTTTTTTCTTCTCTCTCTCTCTCCCTGCCCCCTCCTCTTTTTATTTTATTTTATTTTATTTT